CCCATCCACACCACCCTCCACCCCCTTTACTTGTAACCCCTTCCATCCACCCCCTTTACTGACCTGATGCTGGTATTGTTCCTTTCCCCCAACTGACATGACGGTGACTGGCATTATATACAGGCCAGACTTGAATAACTATACTGCACCAAACCTGGCATGAAATATTCACGCTACAGAACATCATCAAGCTTTGCCATCTATTCGAGTATCTTCTGTTTGTCTGTCTTTCCGATACAAGTCTTTCTTTTTAACTACCACTGATTTAAAAGCTAAAAGAGTGTGGTTTAGTTTTTATACTTGGAGAGTGAATTTGTTTTTTAGATAACTGAGATTACTAACAAATATTATTAACAACATGAGATATTTGTGTTACTGTATAATCAATGTCTAGTTCTATATTTTGCCGTTTCTGTTTTGGTATAATCAGTATCTATGCCACCATTGTAATGCGTTTATATCAACAGTTTTAATAAATATTACTAACATTTAAGTAATTGCGCAGCGTTATCTTACATTTATATAATTGTTTGACACGTATCCCATTTTACCTTCGGTCTATTGTAGACTTTTCTAACAGCGATGACAAGAATAGAGGCGATGACGATGGTGGAACCGGAACTGCCGACATTATACACATGGCGCGCGAGCTGGGGCGGAACAAGGACATCAGCGAGGAGGACGCAGCAAAGCTGGCCGCAGCCAAACTGTCGGAAAACCAACATCACAGCTCTCTGTGGTACCGAATACACGCCACACGGAACATAACTGGCGGCCACAAGCTGGTGCCGCAGATCAACAAGGCGCTACATGAAGTAGGTGGTCATGCGTGACATTTATGTTCGCCAGCAACTGTAAACATGATAGACACTTCCGTATGACATGACATGGTGGAACTTTCACAGACCGATTTTAATTAATTTGATAGACGAGAGAGATGTATCGAATGAAAACTTAATTTCAAAGTTGAGTGTTATGAATGATTTTTATTCACCGATTTTTTAAGTAACATGGCATTCTTATGATATAGCTATAAAATATTGCAAGATAATATTGTAGATTGTCTCACATCTGCAGAGTTGGATACATGAACGAGTATTTCCTGTCTATAAAGACAAGTTATATCCCATTTTACCTAACTGGCACATGCCAGAATAAACTCACATTAAAGTATGTCATGAATCACGTGTCCCATGTTAATGCCACTCTTTGTTTAGCAGGTGTGCCATTATTTCACCATACCATGTAAAACATGCTTTCCCTTTTTTCAGTAAATTCTATGAGGACATTGTCCATATTTACAACAGTTATGTATTAACCAATATTTCAGACACCTATGTATCGGCCTTTTCTCAACTCAAGGACGATGATAATGTCATTCACGATCGGAACAAGCACGACATTTTAATGTCGCTAATATGTGCACAAAGACCGTGATACTAAGTAAAAAGCCAAACCTTGTTTCCGGATCCCATTCCTCTGTATTTTGTATGTTTTGTGATGTCATGCAACTTAATGTGGAATGAAATGTCGTTTATATTAAAGCTAAGTCGGAGCAATGTTCAACTTTATGTCTAAATTTAGCAATTAAACGTTTTTATTAAGTACGTAATCATTGCCATTATCCAAATCCTTTTGGAATAAAAGGTCTACTTATACCATTTTATGTATGAAATACCTCTTTCTCTTTTACAGCTTTATGAGCAGTCTCAGGATAAAATAGCTCGTCAGTCTCAAATGGGTTCACATCAAAGTTTGTCCATGATTGATCTAACGGAAGGAGGGAACAAAGCCGTTGTCGAGTTTACAGCGCCCTCTTGTGCCGTTCTAGAGAACGAAGGAAATGTTCGCATAGGAATTCGAAGATACGGATGCTGTAAAAAATCTGTCACTGTAATGTAAGAGCATGAATATAAAATGTTTTTTATTTCTCAACTAAAGGCTTAACACTGTAACAAGTATCTGTCAGAGTTATGTTTATCTCGAACTAACGACGATGCACATAGTTTATATTATGAGTTTGGAAATATTGACTAAGGAATATCACAAAGTAGTACAAAAGTTCGAAAGTGATTGTTAGCTAATTCTGGGTTTACGGGAGTAGTTCGAATTTTTAGGAAAAAGAATAATAGCAAAGGTTGGTATTTAATGACATAGTATACTAGGCCCAGACACCCTGTTAGCTACGTCCATTATACTGGAAGGAGCATGACAGGAATAACAATTTGGTATACATTGATATATTTCAGTCCAAATTTAAATGAAATCAGTGTCAAATTCTATAAAATAAATCGATCGAAAACATCAACAGAAATGCTTATACATTACATTGTTCTACATGTCACTGATGCACAACTAAATAACGACCAGATCACATCGACCCTAATTCTAGCATCTTCCTAAATCAATCATATTAATTCATGAACTTTGTATATCTGACTTCTGGATTAATATTTTACATGACTTCGTTCCCTCTTAAATTCGTTGTGTTTTTCTAGAAGCAAATATTTCTAACATTTCAGGGTAGAAACAATTGACGGGACGGCTGAAGCTGGGAGTGATTATAAACCACTGAAGGAAAAAATTGTGTTTAACGCAAACGAGACAAAAAAAGAGGTACACGTGGTGATCGTCGACGACGACGTTTGGGAGCCAGATGAGATATTTTTCGTCAAACTTTGGATTGACGACTCTGCCCAGGACGTGGTTCTCGGCAAGACCGTGATCAACCAGGTCACTATCATCAACGATGACGGTAGGTACCTCTAACTGTATGTGACGTCATTTGGAATTAAATTAATGTTCCAATGACATTTCGGTATTGCAGATGTCGGATTCACATTAGGCGTGCTACCGATACGCTGATACCCCTATAATACCAATATGATGACAACTTAAGGACTGAAATGATTACATGGCAGTATATATGTAATTGTCTGCGTGTTGTTTAGTTTGAGACAAGAAAATCCTGGAGTTGATCACATCTTTTTTTAGTTTTTGTTCCTTCAAGAAGTGTGTTTTGTCTTCAGATTCTATAATAGCTTAGAGTATATGGAGTTAATCAAATGTACGTATTCGTCTAACCCCTTTTAAAACCGAACCAAAGGGGAAAATGATCAGGTAATATCTCGAAAGAGAGGAGTAAACCAAGTCCTGAGTGTATTGGTAGGACAAAAATCTTCCTTTGCAATTTTCCTTAAAATGTTTTCATTTTTGTCCACACCAGAACCTGGAAAATTTGAATTTTCAAAACCTAGCTACATCGTTAACGAGACCTCTGGAAAAGCGCAGTTGTTTGTGAATCGTGTGAATGGTGCTGACGGGTCTGTAGCGGTTTCATGGCGGTCGAGGGACCTGACGGCCATCAACGGCAAAGACTACATCGGCGGCGAAGGCTCGCTCACGTTCGAGCATGGCGAGACTAGCAAGGTCCTCGTGCTGTCGATCCTCGACTCGGGGGTGAGTTCACTTGGGACGTTTATAACATTAATAATATTCCTGGATATGGTGGGATTGGTTTGGGAGTTGGTGTACAAACCCTGACAGGTTGTTTGGGGGTAAGTCAAGTCAGAATGTTATGCAGGGTGGTAAATCTGTCTGTAGTGTTTAGGTTGGAATAAGTATGTGGATTTGCTCTCAACTATTTGTTGGTAATAACTCGGTGGTTTGAGATGTGGAATCAGTATGTAACAGTAATACTGCGAGGATTCAGTGTGTCCACTGCAGTATGTAACAGTAATACTGCGAGGATTCAGTCTGTCCACTGCAGGATGCAACAGTAATACTGCGAGGATTCAGTGTGTCCTCTGCAGTATGTAACAGTAATACTGCGAGGATTCAGTCTGTCCACTGCAGGATGCAACAGTAATACTGCGAGGATTCAGTGTGTCCACTGCAGTATGTAACTGTAATACTGCGAGGATTCAGTGTGACGACTGCAGTATGTATCTGTAATACTGCGAGGATTCAATGTGTCCACTGCAGTATGTAACAGAAATACTGCGAGGATTCAGTGTGTCCACTGCAGTATGTAACGTCCAATGCAGTATGTCACCGTAATACTGCGAGGATTCAGTGTGTCCACTGCAATATGTAACAGTAATACTGCGAGGATTCAGTGTGTCCACTGCAATATGTAACAGTAATGCTGCGAGGATTCAGTGTGTCCACTGCAGTATGTAACAGTAACACTGCGAGGATTCAGTGTGCCGACTGCAGTATGTATCTGTAATACTGCGAGGATTCAATATGTCCACTGCAGTATGTAACAGAAATACTTCGAGGATTCAGTGTGCCCACTGCAATATGTAACAGTAATACTGCGAGGATTCAATGTGCCCACTGCAGTATGTAACAGTAATACTGCGAGGATTCAGTGTGTCCACTGCAGTATGTCATAGTAATACTGCGAGGATTCAGTGTGTCCAATGCAGTATGTCACAGTAATACTGCGAGGATTCAGTGTGTCCACTGCAGTATGTAACAGTAATGCTGCGAGGATTCAGTGTGTTTACTGCAGTATGTAACAGTAATACTGCGAGGACTCAGTGTGTTTACTGCAGTATGTAACAGTAATACTGCGAGGATTCAGTATGTCCACTGCAGTATTTAACAGTAATACTGCGAGGATTCAGTGTGTCCACTGCAGAATGTAACAGTAATACTGCGAGGATTCAGTATGTCCACTGCAGTATTTAACAGTAATACTGCAAGGATTCAGTGTGTCCACTGCAGTATGTAACAGTAATACTGCGAGGATTCAGTATGTCCACTGCAGTATTTAACAGTAATACTGCGAGGATTCAGTGTGTCCTCTGCAGTATGTAATGTCCACTGCAGTATGTAACAGTAATGCTGCGAGGATTCAGTGTGTTTACTGCAGTATGTAACAGTAATACTGCGAGGATTCAGTATGTCCACTGCAGTATTTAACAGTAATACTGCAAGGATTCAGTGTGTCCACTGCAGTATGTAACGTCCAATGCAGGATGTCACAGTGATTCTGCGAGGATTCAGTGTGTCCACTGCAGTATGTAACAGTAACACTGCGATGATTCATTGTATCCACTGCAGTATGTTAACCGTTTACGTAAATTTGGTGCAGAGTGGTACCCGTTTACGTTACTTTATAGAAGCGCACGCTGGCATTACTTTGACATTGCACTATTGGTGAATCAAGTTTATTAGAATCTGTACAGATTGATGGAATGAAGATTATAATTGGTTTAACAAGTGGTACTTCACATTGTAAACTATATCAAGAAACTGGCATGGAAAAGTTAGAATCTAGGCGTCATAAGCACAAATTAATTTTAATGTATAAAATTATGAAAAAAAAAATAACCCCTGATTATTTGGCCAGGTCAGCTAGCCTAAGTTCCTTCAAAGGGAATCTTAAAATACTATAGATAATCCTATTGAAACTATTTCTGATACTTTTAAAAATTGTAGCCCACGAAAGTTAAATATCATTTTGTGCCAATTAAGAAATATTTCAAGTGACTTGAATCATCATAAATTTATAGATAATCTTATCCCAGATTCAGTTTGTGCCTGTGGTTCACCTGCTGAAAATACTGATCATTATGTTTTTGTTTGTCCTATTTACTCTAATTCTAGGTATTTAATTCATGAAATTCATGACCGTATTGGTTATTCTAATTCAACTCTGTTAACTTCAGGTGATAATACCCTGTCGGAGGATAATAATGAACTTATTTTAACTAATGTCCAATACTATATGGCACTGAAAGATTTAAGAGATTGTAATACAATAATTGAATGATTGATATCTACTGAAGACCTCTATTATTGTACAGTCTTGATATTATATATATCACTATGACATATATATGTAGTAACTTTGTAATAATATAAATTACTTACTTACTTACTGAGTACACATCTGATATAGATGTGTTGTATGTGTGAGGGTGTGTGTGACATGTAGGCATGTGGGTATGCAAGTATGTAATAAGCTTGAGTAGATGTTTACACATTTAATTATTATACATAACCCGAAGAAATCATTCTACTCTCTAAATATTGTTTAATACTACCATCAATGCTTTCATGTTTAAATCTATTTATATTTATATATATACATTACTGTATATATTATTTCCTTTCTTCACTTTGACTTGTATATATGTGGTACCTATTGGAGAGGACATATATATAGGCTTGCCTGTTGTCCAATCCATTTGTTTTCTAAAAAATGAAATTTGTTAAAATGAAAATTGCTATGAAGGGAAGAGCGGTACTCGATTGCTTGATTTGGTACTCATTCACGCTTGCATTACTATGAATGGAAGAGTGGTACTCGTACGCACTTGCAAGACTATGAATGGTAGATTGGAACTCGTAGACGCTTACATAACTATGAATGGACAACATTGTATGAGTTGAATAGTGGTACTCGTACACACTTGCATGACTTTGAATATAAGATAGGTTCTCGTACACGCTTGCAAGACTATGAATGTAAGAGTGATACTTGTACACATGTGCATGACTATGAATGAAAGAGTGGTACTCGTACACGCTTCGTTACTATGAATGGAAGAGTGGTACTCTTACACGCTTGCATGGCTATGAATGGAAGAGTGGTACTCGTACACGCTTGGGTGACTATGAATGGAAGACTGGTACTCGTACACGCTTGCGTTAATATGAATGGAAGAGTGGAACTCGTACACACTTGCATTACTATGAAACGAAGAGTGGTACTCGTACACACTTGCATGACTATGAATGGAGGAATGATACTCGTACACGCTTGGGTGACTATGAATGGAAGACTATAAATTGAACAGTGGTTCTTGTACACGCTTGGATGACTATGCATGGAAGAGTATGAATTGAAAAGTGGTACTCGTACACGCTTGCATGACTATGAATGGAAGACTATGAATCGGAAGTGGTAATCCTACACGCATATATGACTATGAAAGGAAGATTGGTACTCGTTCACGCTTGCATGACTATGAATGGAAGACTATGAATTGAAAAGTGGTACTCCTAAACGCATATATGACAATGAAAGGAAGAGTGGTACTCGTACACACTTGCATGACTATGAATGGAAGAGTGATACTCGTACACGCTTGGGTGACTATGAATTGAAGAGTGGAACTCGTACACACTTTCAAGACTATGAATGGAAGAGTGCTACTCGTAAACGCTTGTATGACTATGAATGGAAGAGTGCTACTCGTAAACGCTTGTATGAATATGAATGGAAGAGTGATACTCGAACACGCTTCGTTGCTATGAATGGAAGAGTGATACTCGTACACACTTGTATGACAATGAAAAGAAGACTGTTACTCGTCCACGCTTGCATGACTATAAATGGAAGACTTGTACTCGTACACACTTGCATGTCTATGAATGGAAGAGTGATACTCGTACACGCTTGGGTGACTATGAATGGAAGAGTGGTACTCGTACACGCTTCGTTACTTTGAATGGAAAAGTGTATTCGTACACGCTGGGGTGACTATGAATGGAAGACTGGTACTCGTACACGCTTGCGTTAATATGAATGGAAGAGTGGAACCCGTACACACTTGCATTACTATGAAACGAAGAGTGGTTCTCGTATACACTTGCATGACTATGAATGGAGGAGTGATACTCGTACACGCTTGGATGACTATGAATGGAAGACTATAAATGGAACAGTGGTTCTCGTAAACGCTTGCATGACTATGCATTGAATAGTAGGAATTGAAAAGTGGTACTCGTACAGGCTTGCATGACTATGAATGGAATACTATGAATTGAAAAATGGTACTCCTACACGCATATATGACAATGAAAGGAAGAGTGGTACTCGTACACACTTGCATGATTATGAATGGAAGAGTGATACTCGTACACGCTTGGATGGCTATGAATGGAAGAGTGGAACTCGTACACACTTGCATTACTATGAATGGAAGAGTGATACTCGTACACACTTGCGTTAATATGATTGGAAGAGTGGTACTCGTACATACTTGTAAGACTATGAATGGAAAACATTGTATGAATTGAATAGTGGTAATCGTACACACTTTCATTACTATGAATGGAAGAGTGGTACTCGTACACGCTTCGTTACCATAAATGGAAGAGTGGTACTCGTACACATTTGCATGGCTATGAATAAAAGAGTGGTACTCGTACACACTTGCATGATTATGAATGGAAGAGTGATACTCGTACACGCTTGGATGGCTATGAATGTAAGAGCGGAACTCGTACACACTTGCATTACTATGAATGGAAGAGTGATACTCGTACACACTTGCGTTAATATGATTGGAAGAGTGGTACTCGTACATACTTGTAAGACTATGAATAGAAAACATTGTATGAATTGAATAGTGGTACTCGTACACACTTGCATTACTATGAATGGAAGAGTGGTACTCGTACACGCTTCGTTACCATAAATGGAAGAGTGGTACTCGTACACATTTGCATGGCTATGAATGGAAGAGTGGTACTCGTACACACTTGCATGATTATGAATGGAAGATTGATACTCGTACACACTTGCATTACTATGAATGGAAGAGTGATACTCGTACACACTTGCATGACTATGAATGGAAGAGTGGTACTCGTACACGCTTGGGTGACTATGAATGGAAGAGTGGTACTCGTACACGCTTGCATGACTTTGAATATAAGATAGGTTCTCGTACACGCTTGGGTGACTCTAAATGGAAGAGTGGTACTCGTACATGCTTCGTTACCATAAATGGAAGAGTGGTTCTCGTACACATTTGCATGGCTACGAATGGAAGAGTGGTACTCGTACACACTTGCATGATCATGAATGGAAGATTGATACTCGTACACACTGGCATTACTATGAATGGAAGAGTGATACTCGTACACACTTGCATGACTATGAATGGAAGAGTGGTACCCGTACAAACTTGCATGACTATGAATGGAAGAGTGGTACTCGTACACACTTGCATGACTATGAATGGAAGAGTGGTACTCGTACAAACTTGCATGACTATGAATGGAAGAGTGATACTCGTACACACTTGCATTCCTATAAATGGAAGACTAGTACTCGTACACACTGGCGTTAATATGAATGGAAGAGTGGTACTCGTACACGCTTGCAAGACTATGAATGGAAGAGTGGAACTCGTACACGCTTGCATGGCTATGAATGGGAGAGTGGAACTCGTACAGGCTTGGGTGACTATGAATGGAAGAGTGGAACTCGTACACACTTGCATGACTATGAATGGAAGAGTGGAAGTCGTACACGCTTGCATGGCTATGAATGGAAGGGTGGTACTCGTACACACTTGGATGACTATGAATGGAAGAGTGATACTCGTACACGCTTGCATGACTATGAATGGAAGAGTGGTACCCGTACACGCTTCGTTACTATGAATGGAAGAGTGGTACTCGTACGCTTCGTTACTATGAATGGAAGAGTGGAACTGATACACACTTGCTTGGCTATGAATGGAAGAGTGATACTTGTACACGCTTTGGTGACTATGAATGGAAGAGTGGAACTCGTACACGCTTCGTTACTATGAATGGAAGAGTGATACTCGTACACACTTGCATGACTATGAATGGAAGAGTGGTACTCGTACAAACTTGCATTACTATGAACGGAAGAGTGGTACTCGTAAACGCTTGCAAGACTATGAATGGAAGAGTGGAACTCGTACACGCTTGCATGGCTATGAATGGGAGAGTTGAACTCGTACACGCTTCGATGACTATGAATGGAAGGGGGAACTCGTACACACTTGCATTACTATGAATGGAAGAGTGGTACTCGTATACACTTGAATGATTATGAATGGAAGAGTGGTACTCGTACACACTTGCATGACTATTAATGGAAGAGTGGAACTCTTACACCCTTGCATTACTATGAATGGAAGAGTGGTACTCGTACATAATACTTGCATGACCATAAATGGAAAACTATGAATGGAAAAGTGGTTCTTGTACATGCTTGCATGACTATGAAAAGAAGACTGGTACTCGTACAGTCTTGCATGAAAAATGGAAGACTGGTACTCGTACACGCTTTCATGGCTATGAATGGGAGAGTGGAACTCGTCCACGCTTGCATGGCTATGAATGGGAGAGTGGAACTCGTCCACGCCTGCATGAGTATAAATGGAAGACTGGTACTCGTACACGTTTGCGTTAATATGAATGGAAGACTGGTACTCGTACACGCTTGCGTTAATATGAATGGAAGACTGGTATTCGTACAGGCTTGCATGACTATGAATGGAAGAGTTGAACTCGTACACGCTTGCATGGCTATGAATGGGAGAGTGGAACTCGTACACGCTTGCATGGCTATGATTAGGAAAGTGGTACTCGTACACCCTGTATGGCTATGAATGGAAGACTTTAAATGGAACGGTGGTCTCATACACGCTTGCATGACTATACATGGAAGAGTATTAATTGAAAAGTGGTACTCGTACACGCATGTATGACTATGAAGGGAAGACTATAAATGGAACAGTGGTTCTCGTACACGCTTGCATGACTATGCATGGAAAAGTATTAATTGAAAAGTGGTACTCGTACACGCATGTATGACTATGAAGGGAAGACTATAAATGGAACAGTGGTTCTCGTACACGCTTGCATGACTATGCATGGAAAAGTATTAATTGAAAAGTGGTACTCGTACACGCATGTATGACTATGAAAGGAAGACTACGAATTGAAGAATATCAATGACTATGAATGGAAAAGTAGTTCTCGTACACGCTTGCATGACTATCAATGGGAAAGTGGTACTCATACACGCTTGCATGACTATGAATAGAAGAGTGGTATTAGTACACGCTTCCATGACTATGAATGGAAGGCTATGAATGGAAAGTGGTACTCCTACACGCATATATGACTATGAAAGGAAGATTGGTACTCGTTCACGCTTGCATGACTATGAATGAAAGACTATGAATTGAAAAGTGGTACTCCTTCACGCATATATGACTATGAAAGAAAGATTGGTTCTCGTACACGCTTGCATGTCTATGAATGGAAAAGTGGTACTCGTACACGCTGCTGTCTATGAATGCAAGAGTGGTACTCGTTTTGTTGTAACTATTCAGAGTGGCTTCTATCGATGCTTTCGATAATTTTAGTTTCTACCAAGAAAAAAAGAAAAGAAAAAACTACGACATTGAGTTGTCGGCATCCCTAGCTGACTCGATCGTTTCTTCATTGCGTATCACTCAGGGCGATGCAATCCTGGCAGTTTTACAAATACAGCAGCTTTTAAATTTAAACAGACACTAAAAAGTAAACAGCCGCGGTGTTCCCGTTGATCAATCAAGCAGCTGAACTGTATGTTACCCCTGAGAATCTTTAATCTATAATGGCGCGAGAGAGGTTCGAACGCCGATAATTGAGGGTACGAGTTGGACAGGTTTAATGGAGTTACATTAACCAACTTGTCCCAATCTGATGATTATTGAACGTGTTACAGGCCGCTTCAGCTGTTAAGCTCAAACAATAATTTAAATATTATGCTGATTTAATGAAACGAACGCAATAAATTTAAATTAACATGTATTGTTTTTCACAGCTCACCGATAGAGAACATAGCTTCCAGGTGGAGCTGGTTTCCCCGACAGGTGGCGCTGAGATAGGCAGGATAGGCAAGGCAATAGTAACACTTGTGAACGATGAAGGTAAAGCCAATATTCTAGTTTATTTATTTTACCTTACACAAAGTTATGGTAGCTTTTATACGAAAAAAGGTCTTTTCGATTTTTCGCCCTCGAAAAGACGCGTAGCGACGAAAGAATATAACAGAAAGACGGAAAACCACCAAAACGACAATACGAAAGTACGAAAATTTACCAAGTCTGAATAACGAATTAACGCCAAAAGGAGAAAGAAAAAATGCATTTTTGATTCAAACATTTGACGTTATTTTTATTTCGGTTTGGCGTTATTTCGCTATTTCGTTTCGGCGGGGTTTCGTCTTTTCGTTACAGAGTATTTATTTCTGTCGTTTGGCGACTTTTCACGGGCGACAAAGCGAAAAAACGAAATGTAATGTATAAGCCACCATGCATAACTTACATGTATACCAAAGAGAGGCATGACAAGTAATAATTGTTTAAAATCCATAACGCTGAAGTCATAAAACAAGAAAAACTCATAGGGGTTGAAGAACCAGCAGTTTTTGACCTCAAACAAAAAGAGGCAATGATAAAAGGGAGGAAAGCCCGTCTGTGGTGGAATTGTGACTTCACCACCACAACAGTAAGAAGTGCTAGCTTCAGACAACAATTAAGAGACAACAAATACTTTCTTCAATGACATGCTTGCCACGGTTATAAAATGTCGAGTACTTTTGTTTTCACTATTTTGGTTACTCTAAGTCGTGCAATCTGATTTTTTTCCTGTTCCTTTAGACGCCTTGTTTAAGGAAATACTTGTGGTTACAAATGTAACCGCCAAACCTCTTAACTGCAAATCAGATATTCCCGCATTATGGTGGTCGTAATAATAATGATTTTCAAATATTTTGAATTTTATTTTTCGATAGAAATTTCAAGGTGATTTTTTCTGTATTTAAAAACATCTGAAGTGTTAGTTTGCCCCTACTGTTATATCCACACCAATACCTGATATGCTCGGCTTGTGCTTCTCTAATAGAGCATAATTTACATTTTACATGTAGAAAGATCGATTATCTGTGAAGGGTAAAGAAGCTTGTATCGTTCATGATGTGCCAAGATCCAAATACTATTTGGCATTAAATTCGCGCCCGTCCTCCCAGTCCGCCTGTTAGTTAACATACATAGGTGGTCTCGCAGACTTCAATACCGGTCCTGTTAAATGTCAAATCAGTCTCAACGGCTTTAAGACTTGGAACATAACATAAACATAACGAACACAAATTATGAAAAATAAAGTGTTTTCGACATTTGTTGTGCATGAACAATTCAAATTGGATTTAATGTTAGTGGAAGCAAGCGTGCATGGACGCAACGTATTTATGTATATTTAATTCATTATCTAATCAATTTACAATACTGTAAAGAGCTTTGTAGAAATGTCTGTTCGTGGCCTGCTACCGCCTCCAACCTTTAGTGAATATGCATTAGGCGATGTCCAGGAGACCGTCGCATGACGTATGCTCTGTCCCTTTACAGAGTTCGAGGGCCTGGTGTCCCGAATAACCAATCAGACCATGAAGAATCTGGATGGTCTGAGATTGGATTCGTCGTCATGGGGAGAACAGTTCCACGACGCCATGAACGTCAATGGTGGGGACGCAGAGAACGCCACCGTCATCGACTATATCATGCATTTCTGTACATTTTTCTGGAAGGTAAACAACCGGTAATCTACTAGTCTATAGACAGTGTATTATAGTTATCAATATATAACCAGTATACAATACAACGAACATCCATCATCAGGAAGAGTTTCGTGTGTGAGGTTCATTAACTTTTATTTTTATTTACAAATATGTACAATGATAATTTCCCTATTGTACATATTGTTTGCTATTTACCCCGTGCAGAAAATACCAAACAATGACAATTATTGACTACACCTAGTTGCGGTGTATCACTTTCACATCTTTTGTTAGCGTTTCTTGTCTTTATATCAAAGTAGTGTTGGAAGATGCCTACCTTGTCCATAGTTTACTTGAAACCTCATATCGATGTCTTAGGACACGATATAACAACAGAAATGCAAATCGATGTTGCAATACAATAATGTAGTTGTGTTTTACCTTGCGCACATACTAGCGTCTTTATTCCTGTTTCATACCAGACCTGTGATGTTATTGTCGTATACGATCGTCGTTGATGATGTTGATGTTGTTTAATGTAAACTCTCTAAACTCGTTGTACGTGATGGCGTCATTCATACCTTTGTGTGATGTTGTTGTTATATATAAACTCCCTAAACTCGTTGTACGTGATGGCGTCATTCATAACTTTGTGTGACGTTGTTGTTATATATAAACTCCCTAAACTCGTTGTACGTGATGGTGTCATTCATAACTTTGTGTGATGATGTTGTTGTTATATATAAACTCCCTAAACTCGTTGTACGTAATGACGTGTTGTTGAAATAACCTCTCTAATCTCGTTATGCGTGATGACGTAATTCTGTGTTTTAGGTGATGATGTTGTTGTAGATGTGTGATGACGTCCTTTCTTTGCTCTAGGTGATGTTCGCCACACTTATCCCGCCTACGTCAATTGGAGGAGGTTGGCTCACATTCAGCTTTTCACTGATGGTGATCGGATTCCTGACTGCTATCGTCGGCGACCTGGCCTCAATATTCGGGTGTTTAATAGGCCTAAAGAAGACAGTGACCGCCATTACGTTGGTGGCACTTGGCACTAGTATGCCTGATTTGTTCGCAAGCAAACAGGCAGCAGTAGGGGAGAAAACGGCTGACAGTTCTGTAGGCAATATCAACGGAAGTAACGCCGTCAATGTGTTCCTTGGTCTAGGACTTCCCTGGCTCATAGCAACTATCTACTGGGGCGTTAAGGTATGCAACCGTGACGTAAAGTCAATCAATTCTAAAAGCAACCATCTTGTAGTCGGTTAGGACTTATAATTACCATATGTTAGTCAATTAAGACTGATTACAACCACCTTATAGTGATTTAAGACTTAAAACAATCATCAACCATCTTCTCGTCAGTTTAGACTTTCAACAATAATTTACTTATTATACAATAATTAACAAAATTTGACTATTATTCACAGGAGTCTTTTGTCTTTGTAACTTTATGAAATAAACAAGTCACATTTTTACATATGGGTTTAAAAAAATATCAAAGTAGTCACCGTATCCGTGAAATTTAAAGGTTATTCAACCAACAAATATATTATCTGTGTATAATGCATTTAGCCCAACGCAATTCCATAGGCGGCATGTCGTTTGTGTAATGATGAAAAATCGACGTTGACGCCACAAGTACATTATAACAATGAAATGGTGTTCAGGGCACGTATTCATGAAAGAAGCAATTCTTATCCGCAAACGCTGGTTCTGTGATCAGGCCGAATTTCATTTTCTGGAGATAAATCAATAAAACTTCAATTTCTGTCTATAATTTGGGAAAATATGGCAGTAACTTAAAATCGAACATTGGTTCAACTAAAACATTCGACTTTAGACAATTCCACAAGTTTTAATCGAGAAGCAGGAAAGTTCGTTTGAGAACAAAATTCATGTTTGAGCTTGAAAACTGTTTCATGAATATGCACCCAGAACTCGGAATGAAAGACAACAAATAGGGACGTTTTCTTTTTACATCTTCAACTTAAATTTCGTGTTTCGTTATTGTATTTGCATATTTATGTGAAACAGATCATATTGTTTGACTTGTTTAAACTGAAACACGTTTTATCTGCAATAGCTGTTATATAGATCCGTGCTTGCCTTTGTGCTATTCTCTTACTGTGGTATATATCTGGTTTTCAGGGGGAGCGGTTCATCGTGCCAACTGACGCGCTGGGCTTCACCGTCGTCCTGTACACCGCGTTCGCAATTTTCACTCTTGTAATCCTGATGATTCGGAGGAAATTTGCCGAATTCGGTAAAGCTGAGCTGGGAGGGCCCGTCAGAAACAAATTCCTCTCGGCTTTCCTCATCTTGATGCTGTGGTTTATCTACGTCATTTTATCGTCATTGAATGCGTATAAAATCTTCAATGTTCCCTTTTAAAATTGGTGAAAGTGACTCCGGGAGTACCATCGATCACACTGTGATATCTGTGTTCAGAATACGTGTCGCTTGTTTCTCAGCACTATCTCGGCACGTTGTTTACGCGTGTCACCAGGTATACTGGCAGTACGGACATTAGAATATTGAAGTGGTTTAAAGATTCCCTAGGTATAAAATTTAAGCAAGTCGATATGCCGTTTTTGAATTGGTTACTACTTTAAGGGGTTTTTCTGATAAACCTACCCACCACATTCGCTTCAACTTTTCAGATATTGCGTTAACAAGTGTTTTCAGAATATCATTGGATTGTTGATCAGGTGGTACAAAGTTGATTTACACACACATAGTGTGACCGATGTCACTATCTCGCCTTTTTCGTTTCGTATTTTTATTTTTATAATATACTTCGTTCCTCCGAGTGAAGCGGAATTTAGCATCCTTTTAATTAAAAGTCTTTCACTATTGAGCGCTGTCAGTGTTGTAGTGGCAGTTATTCATTGTGTATGGTGGAATAGATCTGCCACCACATATCTGCGAGATATTTCAGGTGATATAGGGATAGTTTAGTTCACACTATGTTCACTGTACGACAGAGCGAGGTAATAAAACGACATAGCGAGATACTCCACTTGACACAGAAAACTTTGAGGTTTGCTTCGGCTTGCTGTTTTCTGTGGCTGCTGCTTCAAATTTCTTCGCGATGAGCTTTCAAATAGAGGTCACATGACACAAAATTTGAAAAAAAAAATGTTAATGCATATAGCTGTATCAAAGCAGGTGTGTATGACAACGTAGCGACTTGATAAAAAACATACACTTATCTCACTATGTCGAGTCTTCAATTTGCTATGCCGATCTATTTACTTCGCTATGTCGCATACTATAGGAAATATCAGTAGGTTGGTCATAAATTGTTTAACAAAATGAAAAACTAACCTAAGAATAGGTCTATAGTTTATGTAGGGACTGACCAGAAGGTTTTAGCTATCTATTATACTTACAGACTCATATTTGAATAAAATAAAATTTGATGAAAAATATGTTTTCTCTGTAATGTAAATACAGTTGGATCCAAGGAACCGCTGTGTGTTCACGAAGCGACATACGGAGACCAACTATTCCTCTAGAGTAAACATGTGATAAAATAAGTACTGAAGTTCAAGCAATGGATGAGACTGCTGACGATTTTACTGTAACGACAGCTCCGAGCACGTGACTGCAAAGGGCTATGTTGATTGGTCTGTGATATAGACGTCGTCTCGTGGTGTATGCGTTCTGATATTGTAAATTTTAATGTGACGTCAACTTTCAGATATGACAATGCATGTGCATGTTTTGATTTAGGTTTCAGCATTTACGTGGACGATTCATGGCCTGTAATTTAATGATGTTGCAAAATTGAATTGTGTTGTTTTACTGATTGCTTCTATAGCTAACTTATTGACTCATTCATCTAAACTGTTTTTATTTGGTGACGAAATAATGACTTTCATTGAAACTATTAAGATTGCGGACACTGTTTTCCGACCTAACAAGCACACAGTGAACGTTGTGTTGTGTAGAGAACACCATTGCCATGAGGGATATGTAGGTCTGTTTCGGAAATATATCTTTCAAAATGAAAATCTAATTCATATGTACTTCAACATACAGTTAATGTTACATATTTCTGTACGTACTTTTTCTGATAAGTTACTGTTATTTTCTAGTGGTTTGTGTTGTAATGGTGAAATTGTCTGAAAGTACTGCCGAGTTCCGCATATCTGTGTTAACTTTGGGATGATAGTGCATTATCTCCCATGTGGAAAATCGTGATAATCATATAACAAATTAATTGAACTCTTCAAATTGAACTGTTCTGTCGATTTAATATATCGCTGAAGTCTATATCTCACTTCTGATCTGAAATGTCTACATGATTTATATTCCCAGTCTACATGAACCATATACGTTTTATCGTAGCAGTACTTTAGCAAACCCCCTGATAATATTCGGTAGGAAATTATTACCTTTTTATCATTATTATTCGTTGCAATCTGAAGGAAATCATTAGCTGGATAAGAAAAGCTTTTCATTACAAGTATTATGTAATATAAGTGGTAAATTGATCCAAGTAGTGGGGATTCTGGGAGGTCCTTATTTATACATCATAGTCATTGTTGAACAAAGATGTCTGTTTCCGAGTGTATGTTACGAGTACAGACTCGTTACCGCAGTTACTATTTATCTGTTTAACCTTTTATCAAGGGAAATTTTATCCTTAAATTTGTAATGACTTGTTTAATAGTTATTTTGTTTTCATTTTTGTACTTTTAAAGTACGGTCTATTACATCAATAAAACAATATAGATGGGGCTACTGGTATTCTTGTTTTTGCGATTTCTTCATTTATTACAGGTTTAAATGAAAGGGGCTATTTAGTCAAATGACAACCTGAAAATCGAGTCGAATCACTTCGCTGTCGACCGACAATAGTGTCAGTAATGAGTCTGAGTTTACACATCACACATGCTTGAATTTACAAAATATATCGCAAGTAAGAATTATAAGTATCCTAATATATACCTCAAATCATATATTTCTGTTTGCAGTTTGATTTGAATAAAAACGAATAACTCCAATTAAAGCATGCACTTATTCCACCAAATTGTCCCTTTAAATACCAACAAGGGTAAAGCTTACGTCGCCGTTCAGACTTCAGAGCAGTTGTCTCGCGTTTGGCTCTATAGGGATTCTTCACATGACCATGTTTCTATTTCAAGCAACCGTATCATTATACGTAACGTTTTCTCGTTTATCGACACTTTTTTCAAAACTAAACCTATGCAAGTTATTGTCAATATATATCTTCTAACACACAGGTTATGAGAGAAAGAAATTGATCTTCGCCAATTTAGAGAAGCCGCGCCAGTTTGGTCTCATGTGTATGCGTATCAGAATTATACATGTATGTATTCAAAACACGTCTTTTCGGAATTTGAGAAAAAGATTAAAAAACAAAAGGGAAAACTTCTTTTTTTCCTGCACTGAACAGTGTTTTATGCCGAGTCACAGTTGCGTTAAAGTATAAGACCATGTGCAATGAATTGTGTCCGATATCATTTTGATTAAACTGTGTATCAAATAATCATAAACACTAATGGCTGGTATCTGTGATAGAGGTAAGCATTGGAACAGAAGAAGAGAGATAACTCTAACGACATAATATTCAACTGCCTACCTATTGTCTGGGAAACACAAAAAGACGATGAAAACATATGCTACCCATATTATTTTTCGAACCAAACTAACTAGAACATGTAGGCCATCAGGCTTCAAAAAGTGTAAGTGTCTTATATTTTTCAACCGTTAAAATATCGTTATTCAGACATAGTTTAATTAGTTGGAGGACTGATAGGCCGTATATAATATAAATCGCTAATATTAGACTACTGCAGTAACAGACAGTCGTGTTCTCCTCGTTGTCACCGTTACGTTTCAATCGTCATTGTATGACGTCACAATGACGTAACATTACCACTATGGAAGCTACATGTAGTGCATTGGTGAAGCGTCATGCTACTTCTGTGTTGTGCACTTTCACAGCACCAATCCTGATCACAATACTTTTGTTTATATATTCTAACAAAGGAAACTTCTTTGAAAACGACCATTACGACGGGTTCGTTCAGGCCGAAGACGACGAACTTATTCAAAAAATGTTGCAGCATCATATGGCTAAAAGATCCCGATCGGAGAGAGCAACAAAGACAAAAGGGAAAACAAATGATATTGACTTCTCTATTTATCAAGAAATGGGATGGGAACTTTCTCCTCAAGACGCTCTTCAAGTTTTTGATGCATATTATGACTGCTTACTGAAAAGGGAATCATCTGATACAGGTAAACTGGATATTACTGCTGTTTTGTCCTTAGAGGGTCAGAATATTGAACTGAAATGTCCAATGTGTTTACGTCCGGATCAAGATGCTGGTGTGTTTGATGTTCAGTGGCAACAGATACGTGCAAGAGATAGTGCAATGCGTTATGTTGAGGAAAGTTCGAAGTTTAAATTCACAGATAAAATGTCGCTGGTTATTTCTGGTGTAGATATCATTGACGCTGGACAGTTCTTTTGTGTGAGAATGCGGGACAGAGAAATAGAGCAAATTTATCAGCTGGATGTCTTATTCAGAGAAAGAAGAAAAGTTATAAATGGCTCTGAAAGGCATAATATCCTACCCGTGGAAACGATGGCAGAGAATAACTTGAAGTTGTCTACCTTATGGTCTGATTGGAGCGCCTGCAATAGGTGTGGTAAGATGGGTCATCGCCGAATGGTAGGCCTATGTATGGTAGAAAAGGTAAATGCCTCCGATCCTGTGGAACCAGTAGATCTTCCAATCATCGAGCTGTACCCCCGGGGGTTACCATGCCGGTCGACGGTCCTTCCGTCCCAAATCGCCAGGTTGAGGTCAATACGACTTAGGCAAAGTGAAACCATCGTTGAGAACTGTTACAGGTCATGTCCTACCGCAGCGCCCCCTATAACAGTCACTGACAAAAACGGAAATGTGTTGCAGGTAATCCAGCCTGGATACTACTCAATGAAGTGAGTTTACACTATCACTCTTCTGCTCTGTCCCACATTTGAAGGTGGTTTATTACGTACCAGTAATGTTCAAATTATGGCTAAGTTTTGGGGGTTTTCGAACTATCAGATCGTTGCTACTACCTAGTATTTGCGCAACCGCGTCCTCTAAAACAAAACAAAAATAAAAACAACAAACACATAAGCCCACTCTGGGCAAAAGCAATAAGCGAATATCCCAAAAACTAGTCATTTGAAAAAAGTTAAGAATGACATGCATCCATTAACATTTATAATGCTATGCAATGTAATTCCGTTAAAACTATTTCCGGAATGCGTAGATGCCCATCATGGAATCATTCAACGTGGCTGTCATGCATACATTTAAGCATTGAACTGTTACCAGATGCAGTATACAGTCGATATGAATGCAATTTGGGTGACAGATAGATAGAATGTCGCCCGTTAGGGCGACATGAATATTTATCTGTCAGTCAAATTGTATAAAAAAACAAAGATTTTATTTTAATATTATCGTTCTGGGTGATATCTTACAGTTCATGGTACCTTATAACAAACGCTTTTACCAAATACGGGAAGGCATTGTTGCGGGAACAATGTCGTATTGTTAATGGTCACCTATTTAGTCAGGCGATAAACTTCTATTCAAAAGCATTCTTGAATACCTTAACAATGCGATGAAAAACCGTTCAGTTCATATATCTGAAGTGTTATTTTTCACTGTAGTTACAAATTTACAAATTATATATTGCCGCTAGTGAAAAATAACCGTTGCCAAGATTTAAACCACTCCAAATATACAGAATACAAATTAGTTGATTACAACCGAATCATAGATCTTAAAATGTGCGTGTTTTGCGCTTTACTTTGCTACAGCTGTATGACGTCATAGAACACCGACGACATAAACTGATGTTCACATTGTGCGATCTGAAGCATTCTCTCTGTTTACAACAAAACATTTTCTTACTTTCAAAGTTCTAAAATGTTAGTGTAAATGGAACATTTAACGTTTTTTCGTTGAGTATCATGTATTTTTCGCTCTGTGGCAGACTTCCTAAAACTCATGCTGGTACAGTTGTGAACATTGTCAAATACAAATGTATTTTGCCACACTCTTTAAACTGTTATACAACGAGTAACCAGTAGGTATCCTCTATCTGTTGTAGCAGTTTACACAAAGTTGTGACAATTTAAACCAATTTAATATTCCTCTCCAAGCTTGCTCTGTCACACAATTCCAAAACGGAACGTGCTTGACCTGCGTGCTAGGCGCGATAACCCGTACAACCACTGAGTGAGGCTGCTGCTACAGATCGATATACAACGTATTTCTCTATTCAACTATCCAATAGGATAAACAACACAAAATACAGGAATGTATTTTACTGCGACAGAGGCACTGCGACTGATTTATTAAACAAATCATTCTCATACACAACAATAAGTGTTATGGACATAAAACATATATGCACCTACAAACAAAGGAATGCATTTAATTATAGAGTTATCATAAACTTTAATAGTGAATACACTTCCAGATTACTCCCCATATCACTGATTACCAATATATGTATATCAAATATAAAATTAATCTAATCATTTAAATTCTGTGTCCGCCAAGTAAAAATAAAATTGCACGTCTGCCTGCCGCTAACCGTGTCGTCGAATGACACGTACAGGTAACACGCAGTAGGGATTTGCAAGTGCAAATCACAGATCATCACGCCACCTATTGACACCCATAACATAGAGAAACTAATTTCACCCTAATTCCTTCCCGTCAAACGGTTGAAATTATATATATACATGTTCTGATAATGAAATTCTTTAAACTGTTTTGGCAATTTTTTGATGATTTCAGTACATTGATTAATATAGCTTTCAAATCAATTTAAGATTAAATATCACCTGGATAGAACGCAAACTGGTACCATTTGTTGCCGTATTGTTATACTTAAACGACGAGAATCTGCAAATGTACTACACGTGTTATATGTAGAATACGTGTAAGTCAGCTCTGAAAAATCATTTATCAGCATCGCTATGTCTTAATCCACTCTATTTTCTAAAATGTTGGATTTTCAGGATACAACTATTCAGAAATTAATTTTAAAGTAGTGTTTTTATTCAAATATCATGTTGAAATTTAAATCAACTCAACGTCACAAAGTTATTTCAGCTTGTTCCACTATTCATTTTTTTGTTTCCGTTGTACAGCCTCAAAATAAACCTACCAATTCAAAATGTGGTTATCAAAGCTAACTCCTAGAACCAGACCTAAAACACGTGATTGACACGGCAAAAACTGCTCGAATTTTTTCGTCGCACTCCCGAACGATTTCCTAACGCAAAGTAAAAGTTTTTGATAATTACAGGGACAAGCCGCCCCTTCCACGTTTGGTGAAGAGGAGCGTTATTTACGAAGAGACAGGTAAAAATATTATCCTGAAGTGTCCAACAAAACCGAACGAAGATTCCTTGGTCAGATGGCAGAATGGGACGGTAGTTATCAACCCTCTTTCTATCAGACGGCAGACGAGGGGACGTGTTCGTATGGACAGTGCCAACAGACTCCACATCCGGGCGTTGCGTCTGTACGACAGCGCCCCCTATAACTGCTGGCTGAAGCAACGACACGTGGCTACGTTAAAGGTCGTGGTGGTACAAGCAATGAACCATAATCTGAAGGACTACATTACGTACGCCGGACTGTGTCTTACCATCCTCTCGGTGACACTTGTCTGCCTCTGTGTGTTCTCTGGTAGGAACAAGAAAACCATAAAATAACTTATTCAAAGCTAGCTATACACAACATAATATTTCTCAAGTATGATCCTAAGTGTTAGGAGATAAGGCAACCATATCATACTGGCGAAATAAGGAGTAAAGCTCAGTAAAACAGCTCCCGACATAGATCTGTTTGCCATGTTTTTTTGTGTCGCCAACCCATGCATCCTTGTAGTCGTCGTTAGTAAAATTAATCCTCCATTCAAGCTGTGTAATACGGCGCCCGACCCTCTAAATACGTTGTCAACACATCACACTGTTTCTGTGTGAAATATGTCTTCGTCTTCTAATAATGAAACCCTGACCCATACATCACTACTGCAAGTCCGATCCAATCACTACCGTCAACATGAACCCATACATCACTACCGTCAGTCTAACCCCATACATCACTACCGTCAGTCCAACCCCATATAACTGCCGTCAGTCCAACCCCATGCATCACTATCGTCAGTCTAACCGCATACATAACTACCGTCAGTCCAACCCCATATATCACTACCGTCAGTCCAAACCCATACACCAATACCGTCAGCCCAACCCCATACACCACTACCGTCAGTCCAACCCAATCCATCACTACCGTCAGCCCAACCCCATACATCACTACCGTCAGCCCAACCTATACATCACTACTGTCAGTCCAACCACATACATCACTACCGTCAGTCCAACCCCATACATCACTACCGTCAGTCCAACCCCATACATCACTACCGTCAGTCCAACCCCATACATCACTACCGTCAGTC